TAGCTCCCTAGTCCTTACTGTCTCTGTACAGCTGCAGCTCGCTGGAACTGGCCCACTCAGACTGCTCGCCTCTGGCCACTGCTCTCACCCGTGCCCAGTAGATATCATGGATCCTGTCAAAATACAGCTCACATGCCCAGGAGCCAGTGCTGTTCCCCCTGCAGGCACCTGCCTTGGTCCAGCTGGAGGTTCTGTCCAGGGAGAAAGCACAGGGATTACTCCTTTTCAGCACATTCTCAGCCCAAACGGAGGGCTGGCCAGCCACTGCCATCCTGCCTGAATGGAAAGTATAGGAGAGCCCAGGTATCGACCAACAGCATCCTGGGATATGTGAGGAGGGATGTCACCAGCAAGTCGAGTCCCTCTTGGGGTCAGAGGGCACTTGGCACTGTGCTCTGACCTGCCTCTCCACCATGAGGAAACCCATGGCCATGGCAGGGAGAGCCCACTGAGGGGCCACAACGATGCCCAAGGGACTGAGGCTCTGTGGTACAAGGGAGGCTGAGCGAGCTGGGCCTGCTGAGCCTCAGAGGAAGGTGGCTTTGGGTAGGGGGGATCTTATCAACACAATGGAGTAAAGGAGATGAAGCCTTTCTCTCCGCAGTGCCTGGTGAAAGGATGAGAGGCAGTGGGCACAGGTTGAAATACATGAAATCCTATTTAACATAATGGGAAAAAACCAAACCCAAAACCACAGCCCAAAAGCAACCCCTTTGTTTTCTGCTGGGAGAGTGACCGGGAAAGGGCCCAGGCTGCCCAAGCAGGTGTGGAGGCTCCATCCCATCAGGACACAGTCCTGAGCTGATCCTGCCTGTGCAGGAGTGGGATGAGCTGGTCCCTGACAACTCCACTGCTCTATGGTATTTACTGCCAGACAACAATCCTCTGGCTACAAGGGGTTCCCAATAGCCCCTGCCAGGGCATGGGGGGATCAGCCCCCTTCACCCCCTTCTCTGCACCTACCTTCTCCTCCACTCCGCCTGGTAGATGGCATAGCTAGGCAAGCTTGGATCTGACTCCCACCGCAGCCAGACGTGGAAGTTCTGTGCCTCCAGCCTCACACACTGTGGCTGCAGTAGTGTCCCTGAGGAGGGGTAAGAGGGGCATCAGGCAGTGTCATTCTGCTCTGTGGGGTCCCTCCTTGGCTGGCCAATGTGTGGCCATGCTGCACAGGTTCCTCCCACACCCAGCAACCCCCAGCTTCAGCCTGGCATGGGCAAACACGGATTCCACAACAGGGTGCTCAGCACCTGCATCCTCCCAATCCCTTGCACACCTGGAGCACCCTCTCCACAGTCCTCCCAAGGACCTCGACATATCTGCTGCTGACTCTGATGTTTTCTTTCCTGTCACACCATGAAGTTCACTCGGTCCCCTCCTCTCCTCAGGTACCTTCTGTAGGTCTGAGAGGTGTCCCTGTGCTTCCCCCAATCCTGCAGCCAGGGCCCCCCCAGCCTGCAGTGGTGGCTTTGCTGCCAGCTTACCCCAGAGCAGGGAACAGCGGGCAAGGAACAGCAGCAGGCACAGGGCAGGACTCATCCTGCTGCAGCCTGTCCATCTGCTCCCACACTGTGCCACCATGCCAGGAGCTGTGGTGAGGGCCAGGTGTGCTGGAGCTGTTCTGCCACCTGCAGACATGATGGGCAGCTGGGACCTGGGATTAGAGAAAGGGGCTTTCTTTCCAGAAGTTTCAGCCATTGACACCTACCTCAGGCAAGCCCTGCCTATGGAGGCTGTGTGCCCAGTGAGGGCAGAGGACTCCTTGCCACCCCCTGGGAGGGGTGAAGCAACAGCAGAGCAGGTGCCCCCAGGGCTGTGGTGGCAAGTGGGCCTGTGGAGACAGTGGTAGCTGCCACTCTGCCATGGCACTGTGCATGTGCTGCAGGGACCTTCTGTTGCACCTACCTCTGGTACCCCATGGAGAGGAGCTGTGCTGCTGGTGTTACTGGTATACAGGTCTGAGAAAGCTCCTCACCCGATGCTCACACCACTGTGGAGGTGACTCAGCCTAGCTCTAGGCATTACTCACACTGGCATAACCGGTGACACCACTGCCATGACAATCCCAGCCCTCCCACAGCCTCCCTGGTAAGGGAAGGGCACTCAACCAGGTGAAATGGGTCATCCCCAGGGACTCTCTTGGGCTGTAAGCAGAGACCTCAGTCCTGTGAAACACCTTGGCCTTGCCCCTGACTAAGCTCTCAGGAATCTTTCCCTGCTCTTGCCGGCCATGGAGGTAATCTTCCTCTCTTGGGAGAGACATGCAAGGGCTTTGAGGCCACCACCAACTGCCCCCGGGTTGTGGGGACATGTCGCCCCTTGCCATGAAGGCGGTGAGCCAGGGGACGATTCCAGAGGTAGAGGGGTGGGAGCATGCCCTGGTCAGACCGGACACCCGTTGGGCTGGCTCACTGCCACCACTGCCTCTCACTCTTCTCATTTCACACCGACTCTGCAGTAACACTCGGCGACCACAT